CATTGCAGAATTGGCGCTTTTTTAAAATAAATAACATACCAAAACACTGGATTTAGTATTTGTTGTTCATCCAGATGAATTTAAAATACAACGCATAGATCCACTTTCGACTCCAGAAGGTGTTTATCACCCTACTCCTGAAATTAGTTCATTTATTAATATGCAATTACCGGAAAAACTAGTTCCGAAAGAAGAAAAAGTCTTTGACTTCAGTAAAGCTGATTTTCCCCAAGTTAAATCACCTACTCTCATCACAGAATTGGTTCGATTATCATTCTTACAAAGATTTAACAGTTTTACGACGTCCTATTTAAATGTTTTAAATTATCTATTGGAATAAAAAAACAAATAATCCCAAATGGTCCACCATGGAATACGAAGCAGCTCACTACTCTGAAAAACTTAAAATATAAACAATTATATTCATAAAGAAAAGACAAATTTCAAAAACATTCCGAAATCTTTTTATAAATTCGTTAATTTGAAGCGTCGGATATCTGTTACCCCGTTCTGTAATTCTCGTATCGAGAAAATCTGTCGAAAAAATTCATGATCATCTTGTGTAAAACAGGGTGAATGCAAGAAATTTAAACATTTCTTATTAAATTTTAATGAGTACAGTTTAAAAATAATCAGAGTCACACTGTTAAAAACTGGAAGACTATATATACAAAGACGGTATACAAAGTTGTGTTCTACTAAACTGTATATATCCTCTTATTTCACCATACCTTTTAATGCATCACTTTCCAACGGTTATTTTCCTGATTTCTGGAAAAAAATAATTTATTATTTCTTGAACAAAGGAAACTGATCCAACATTTCTAGTTATAGAGGTATTACCAAATTAAGCCCCAGTAGTTTGACAAAGAGTTAATGCATACGTAAAAAACAGTCATTTACACTTATGTTTAACCACATGCTTGACCCTAATTTGTATATATTGGTTTATTCGTCACCAATGACTTTTCGTAAACGAGAGCGAAGACAGTCGTCACTTTACTGTACCCTAAGTAAACGAGTGGCACTTTAAAATGTAGACATTTTACACATCAATTGGAGACACAATTGTTATTTTCCACCAAAGTCTATCCAGCTGGTTGTACCCTATTTGAATGTTTTTGGTCATTCATCACGAATGTACTCTTTGTAGTCGAGAGCGAAGACAGTCGCCACTTTACTGTACACCAAGTAAGCAAGAGAGTGACAGTCGTCACTTAACTGTCCCTCGAGTAAACGAGAGAGGGGACACTTGAAAAAACTTAAAAATTGAAGGTGAAGAGAAAGAGAATAAACATGATCAGTTTTGTCTGAATGCAAAGACAATGAACAGTTATACTTCTTCATCACTTTTAAGTTATTTTATTTTTATGTTAGTTAACTTTAATAAGTTGTTTAAGACAGTTCTCGCGAAAAATTTTATTATGTGAATTTTAAAATAAGAAACAGTTTTTCAATTTAATTAAAAAATAGTCAAATTTAAATAAGAAACATTTACAGATTGGAACAGTGAATTTATTTAAGATGAGTTAAAACAAAAAACTTTAGCAGTGATTACGGAAAAAAATCTTCCCTTAATATAAACAATTCTATTCTTTCAGAGTCATTTATGTGTATTAATGAATTCCAAAGTTTAAAAGTCCAATTTTACTGAAGATACAAATGAGCAGCAGTATTTGTTTAATCTATAAATAAAAGTATTTTTTAAGTGTTTTTTTTATTTTTCATAAGTTTTTAGAGTTATACATCGACGGACCGGTTATTTAACCCCACTGCAATACCTGTCCATTGGACAAGCTACTGGGGACACTTGACTTTCCCCTAGGACACGTCAATAGCTAGTGAAGTAACTAGTAAAAGAGTTAGTAATGTGACTGGCTCCCATGAACCCATTTGGAGATTGAGATTGACTACTTTTGACTAGCTCTTGATAGTCTTATTGTAGGCTATAGAGTATGATTGACTTCCTCGTAGGACAAGCCCATGTTAAAATGCTTAGTCACCTGTGTAGTCGAGAGGCTATGGGCCACCATAAGTGGTAGGTTAGGTGGTTAGTTCGGGACTGTCAAGCCGAACTGCAGGGATAGTACTAAACTTGGTGCAAATTTCATCAAAATCGATTTTTTGAGTTGGGTCACTTGACATGAAATTGCCATATGAAAAAAGCAGGGATCAGAAATATTCATGTACGAACACTTAAAATGATACATTCATAATAAATGGACATTTCTGTTTTTTATTTCCACATTCGGAATTTTTAATTTTTTTATTTTAAGCACACATAAATGAAAACGTTTTTGTTTTTTTATTAAAGTACATACACTTAGGTCTCATTTTATGCGATAAATGCGTTCCAAATTCAAATCGCATAAATTAAATTCACGTAAAACGATACTCTAACTTCATATAAAAACCAATGATTCGTTTCAAAATTATGAAAAACCTCATAAATTCAAATTTTAATTAAAAAATCAAAACAAAATCGCACAAGAAAAATCACAAAAATATATTTATTTCATTAACTTAAACAATAAAAACAAAACACGTTTAAAAAATAAACAAAGATATAATATTAATTCATTATTACTGAAAAAAACAGAAAATGGTTCAAAAATAAGCTGAAACGTTTTTTGTAAGAAAATCTGTTAATATGTATGATTAATCTGTATCACTGAATAATTCTCTGCATTATTTGGAATTGGTTCAACGTTACTTTCATCTCTAGATGATATAATCATATTGCCATCATATGGTAAAATATCATATTCATCACTAGAATTTACATATTTCGTGAATATGGGACGAGATCAAAGAATTTTTAAGAGTTTCAATTGTTTCTTTTCTTGAAAAATAGTTTGTCATCAAACTTTGAGATTTTGAATTTTTATGTTGCTCTTGATATCCAGAAAACAGATCAGTCAGTCCGCGTTGGATCTATATTAAGAATTTGATTTTGTATAACATTAGCTGTGCTGAGGATATGACCAATTTAAAAACGGTAAAAGAGCTAAAAACATTAGCAGTGCTGAGGATATGACCAATTTAAAACGGTAAAAGATCTAAAAAAAAACATCTAAAAATTAAAATCTAAAAATTCGATTCTAAAAAAATCGTTCATTTGAAAACCGCAAAAAAAATCCCCATTAAATGAGACCTTATTTGATTTTTATTTGATAATTATAGGAAAATTATATAAACTAAGGCAACAAACTTAAGAGTAATTAATAAAATTAGGAATAATTTTAGAAGTTAAGTTTTACGTAATAATTTAGAAATGCTTTAGAATACTTATGATTTTCCTAATTTTTTTAATCCCAAAATGGCGGAAAGGTTATGCAACACGAGTCTTTTAGGTCTGATACTTGTTTTACAGACCTCATGGTCTGGATTACGTACTGATCCAAGTTGTATAATGTCCAATTTTGTGAGATTTTATATACAATCCAAACTCGTTCAAACTCCTTCAGACGGTTTAAGAGGAGAATATTTGAAACTGCTGAACTTATGTCAAATTTTGGATAAAGTAACAAAACCAAATGGTTCCAATTCCTAGATCATATTATATCATAAGAATTACCCAACTTAAAATGTTAAATTAAAAATTTACTTTGGTTTCCTTTAGAATCACAAATTTAAAGTTTTTAATGAAATATTATTACACTTTTTAATGTTAGAAATTTTATGTATGTACAATGTACATATGAAGAGCTTATTGCAGTAACTCGATATGCCACCAACCATCACAATTCGATTTTATGTGCTTTTTGAGTTGCTATACGAAGAGAAACATTTTTTGCTCGAAATATCGGGAGATATAATTACCATGTTACTGCATAAAAATAATTTCATATATAATTATGTTGCTTACCAAGTTCTTGCTGATTGGAAAATGTTCGATTGCAAAACACAATAAATTTTGCTTATAAATTTACTTTCAGTTTGTGGAAAAATCTTATATAATGTTCAAACTATGTGGGTAATAAAAAGTCATATTTATCATACCAAATTAGCAGCATATCTTTGTAAAACATATCACAATCATCAGCATTTAAAAAAAGCTTAATATTATAACGCTTGTTACATAAAGTGCATATCGAAACCTCTTTTGAACAATGGACTTGAAATTTCTAAAATCCGTGTAAGACTTCTGACACAACATGCATCGAAATTGGTTCAGATGTTTAAATGATGATCAAGATGCAGAAAATCAACTATGTTGAATAAACGCAAGATTAAATTTTTATCTGAATATTAAGTACAAAACCCAAAACATTGTGTTTTGTCATTCTATTTAAAATAGAATCATACCACAGGACCTGCCTTTTACTGCAGAATAATTTAGCTAAGTATATTTAGCCAAATTTATTCTCATATAAAAAAGTAACTAAAAATGTAAATTTCATATTGAAAATAAAATTTATAAATTTTTTGTAGCAAGAACATGATAAGCCCCTTTGAAAATGTACTAGAACTTGTTTTTTGAAAATAGAAAAATGTTCAAATATTGTTAGGCAATAACTTGATAAGCCACAATTTTGTGCTAAAACAGTGGTTTCCACTTTATTTATGATATCCATCTATTGGCATAAGATAGTTATCGACCTCATATGATTATTAGGCGTACAAATTAAAAAAAAAAAAACAATTTTTAAACTTTAATGACGATTTACTCAAAATTTTATTTTTGTGGCATATCGAGTTACTGCAATAAGCCCTTCATATATTTATATTTTTAATTTTTTTTCTTCTGAGAATATCACTGCACTATTGTAGATCTTAACTTCAATTAAATGCGTAATATTAAAATTTAAAATAAAGCATAATAGGGTAAAAAAGGTAAGGGAATTGACATTCCTTTGTTTATGTTTAAGTACGTAATCTCTGAGAAAGAATGCATATATGCTATGTATACCTTCAGGGTTCAATTATATTATTCAATAATAAAAACCTGTTACAGCTTTCTTTTAAAATGTTAATTGATTTTTTATTTATAATTTCAGCTAGGAAATTGTAATAATACTGATTCTGAATCTCACGTATTGAATCAAGTTCCCAACAAACCATTACCATCGTTGCCGGAACCCACAATGCCTCCACCTCCACCACCTCATGATAGTAATCATGATAATTTAGATAAATTAAAAAGTTGTGTTTTAATTTCAAAACAAATAAAGCCGGAGCCCATTTATGAGGCAGTTTTAATTGGAAGAGGCATCCAAATTAATGATGAGAAGAAATCCCAGGAGCTTGATATATCCTTATCTGATGCAAGTGATCTAGTTCATCACAATAATTTATTAAATGAAACTAATTTATGTCCCTCTGTAGCTGTAAAAACAGCACCTACAGTTACAAATATAATTCAAAACGCAAAAGACTCGGAAATATATACAGAACGCGAACAGAGGCGAAAATACCGCGTGGAAAAGAAAATTATGGAAATGCATCAAAATACTGCAGATATACAAAAAGATTTATACAACAATGATGTTTATTACGATATAATGGAATTCGCCGAACATTATTTTAATGTTCATGATAGAACTCCAGAAGGAACCATAATTGCAACTTTAACCAGAAAGAATAAAAAAAATGTTGATCAGATCCCAAAATACGAAATGATAACATTTTTTAAGGGAGATAGAATATCCTCATCCCATATACATATGTATGATCCTGAAAATGTAGTTTTTGCTTGCAATATATTTCGTGTAAGTATTTCACTAATTCAAAAAGTTTACCATTTTAATTTTATTACAACGACCAAACTAGAGTACTCAAAAAACCGGATTGTTTCAAAAACCAGTATTTGAATAATTCGAAAATTGAATTTTCTATAAACCCTTTTTCGAGTACGGTTTTAAGTGTAAAAACCGGTTAACCGTTTTTTTTGTTTATGGTAATTTTCTATGGAAAAATGATATATAAATTTTCTTAACAAAGAAATATGTATGTATATGAAGTGTATTCTAACTAATTATTTTAAAAAATTTTAATGAATACCCAGCAAGAATTTACTCCATGGAAGTACTGAAAAGGACCTGTAGAAGTGATGATTTTAACACATTCTTGTTATAGGAGGGATGTTCTTTTTTTTTTTGACTCCAAATTCACTACTTCTGAAGACATTGTCAAGAAGTAATTTTTATGCTCTTTTTTGGAAGTTGTTCGGAAGTGAAATTGTAATATTATAGAATACAACTAATTTGACTTAAATAATATAAAACTTTACTACAAAAGCTGAAAAATAACATTAAAATATGTCTTCAGCATTGAAAAAATAGAACTATTTTCGTTTCTTCGGAAGTCTTTAAACATCACTTCCTCGGAAGGTAAAAAAAATCGACACACATAAGTTTTATGTGAGTCAAAATCTCTCTACCAAATTTTATATGGATCGGTCAATAATTGACCCTACACCACCCCCCCTTATAAAAATACGAGTATATCAATGAAATTATGCGGATCGGTCCATAATTGATCCGACTTTAACGCTAATTACTGTCTTAAAAATACGAGTATAGCGATGAAATTAGACACACTTTATCTACACTCTATCAAATTTTATGTGGATCAGTCCATAAATGACCCAATCCCCCTTTTAAGGTCCCCTTCAGAAAAAGTTTCATATCAGCCAACACCTCTTTACAGCCTTTTATAAGAATCGGCTCTTAATTGACCCTACCCCCATATATGGTCCACTTCAGAACGCTCTTTACTGACTTATAAATACGAGTAAAGCGATAAAAATCGATAAACATCAGTTTTATATGAGCCAAAATTTCTGTACCAAATGTACTGATGATCGGTCCGTAATTGACCCTACCCCTACCATATAAGGGTCCTTTTAGAAAATTACTTAAACGATAATTGATGGCTTAAAAATACGAGTTATGGAATATAGTTATGAAATTCGACATAATAAACTTTTATACGAACGTTAAACTTTCTACCGAATTTCATGCATAAAAATACGAGTACAGCGATGATATTCAAGGTAAGCAAATTTAATATGAACCATAATCAGTCTACAAAATGTTATGAGGATCGGTCGATAAATGACCCTACCCCTCATATAAGGTCCTCTTCAGAAAATTTCATGAGGACTATTCAGAAAATTACAAGTAGGCGATGAAAATCGACATAAAAAGTTTATACATAGAAAGATAATTCTTCATTCCGAATTTAATGAGGATTATTCTATAATTGACCCTATATTAGAGGTGCTTTTTAAAATACTAGTTTTCCTTATTTAAAAATACGAGTATAACGATGGAATTTGACATTTTGACATGTACAACAAATTCTATGTACAACATTTTATTTGTAAATTACTCTTACGCTTACAGTATAGAAATTAAAAAATATACTTTGTTACTTCAAATTAATACTTTGTTACTTCAAAAGAGCTCAGTCCATAAATGAGTTAATCCATATTCCAAATATCACCCTTGTAACGACGTGTTTTTACCACCTTATGCCGGGGTAGAGCTCGCGGCTCCCAGGGTTCGTTACAAAAATTTATTTTTAAGCCAGGAGATTAAAAATACAGTTTCCTTTTCTTATAACGTTATAAATCGTACTTTATTTAGTTTATACACTAACACAACACTTTATAAAGACGTTAGCCACCGTGACGGAGAATAGAGCGGCCCGTAGTACACTGTTACGTAGGGGCACGGCGATGACGGGGAAAGGCGTCCCGTATATACACTAGCGGGGGTAGAGGCACGGCGATGACGGTGAAAGGCTTCTTTTGAAGTAACAAGTATATACTCTCTACACGTCTTAAGCCGCAGGGATTCTCTCCGTTGACCGCGGCACCACCACGGGCGTCAACAAGAGGGATGTGCCGGAATGGGAAGATGATTGAGTAAGCTGGACACGGGTATAACCACAGAATCCCACCAATACTCAATTACCACAGTTTTATTAGGTGACCGAGGTATAACCCCTTCTCCAACTAATAGAAACCTTTAGTAACTCTTTACCAGATAAAAAGGTAAACTAAGAGAGTGGGTATAACCTCTATTCTCTGAGTTTGAGATGTTATTTATTTGCCAGAGGTATAACCCCTACACATCTAAATAAGACCTCTTCGCCGGCTGCTGGCTGACTCCCGTTTATTAGCAAATGCCCGTCTTTTATAGCAGATCAACCACGCATACATACACAATAACTAATAACACAGCGGTGTAACTGTCCCATGGTTGCAAACTTAGTGTACTGATATTCGTTTTGTTTTCTCTACTTACTACTAGGTGGCGTTACTTAAACTAACTACAAATAACGTTTTTAAACGAATTTGAATAATAACAAATATAAAAAAAACGTTTCGACAAATTTTAATAATAAAAAAATAAAATTTTTAATACAGTTATTAATGTGAGGCAAAAACGAGTTACTATGACTTTTGCTCGTCACATCGCCTCTCTTCTCAAAAAAAAAATAAAGCAAATGGCCCATTACAGTATGTCAACGATATATTTGCCTGCGCGTTGGTACTTCTGTTCCTTCTCTTGCACATAACAGAAACCCTTCCTTTTCGGTGGCTTGGGTGGATCGTAACGCTCATCCTCAGAATCTATCGACGGCGGTGACCTTGGTGGCAGTGGTGACGGAGGAGATGGAGGATACTTTTCAATTGTCTGATCGAAACGACCAAAAAACGTGCGTCGCAGTTCCTCCCCCCTTCCGCTTTCGAATCCCATTGACTGGAGGTAATCGTCGTATTCTGACAGGGTTGGGCTATCTGACAGGTTGGGCTCACTCCTTACGACCGTTGTTTTGTCGTTTGCTAGTGGATGGAATATCGTCATCTTCTAAGAAAATGGTGCGTCTTCTTTTACCTTGTTCCCGTTCCCAGGATTTGCGAAACTTCTTGCGGGTTTCTTCGAACTTGTCCGACATGATTATATTTTTTCTTTTTATTTCAGTAGTAGGACTAGATTTGAATCAAATAGATAAGAGAGAAAGAAAAACTATTAATTGGTTAAATCAGTAGGTATTACAGTAAGTAATTAACATATAAGTTCAACTTGTATAATGTTTTAATTCGCTAACGTGTGTCCTACGGGGTTCCCTATCTTTACAATGATTAATGAGGTATGGACCTCCAAACTTCGGGGCCAACTTGGCTGCGAAATTTTCACACGCTTTAGACAAGGGTAGTTGTCGCACCAAAACGAGATCCCCAACCTTAGGTCTCCAAGACCGACGTCGTAGGTTGTAAAGACGCTGCTGATCTAAGGACGCAGACATGAGGTTTCGCCTCACTATTTTGAAGATTTCTTTCATCTCTTCGGCCCGTACATCTGGATGTGGGTTGTGAGCACCGGTGCCTACCGTAACTTCGTCGTAGAGAGCTTTTGGTAATCCGGGTTCTCGTCCTTGGGTAAGGAACGCTGGAGAATAACCCGTAGCCTCCGATGTGCTGGTGTTCATCGCCAACATTATCTCGGGTAGGAAATCATCCCATTTATTGTGTTGATTGTCAGCAAATTGCGCGAGCATTTTCTTTATGGTTCGATTTGCACGTTCCGTTGGGTTTTCCTGAGGTGTGTAAGGGGCAGTACATTGCTGTGTCACACCATATTCAGCTAAACATTTACGGAAAATATGTGATGTGAACTGCGTACCGTTGTCGGTAATAATGACCTTCGGCACCCCATATCTGGCAACGATACGTTCTCTAAATGCCTTCACGAGACTTTCGGATGTAGCCTTACGAAGCGGTACAAGCTCACACCATTTGGAAAACCTGTCTATGAACACGAGGAGCATCGTACAGCCATGTTTTGAACGGGGTAGTGGGCCTACAAAATCAGCGCATATTGTCGCCCAGGGTTCCTCGGGAATTCGGGTCAGCATTTCGCCGGCAGGGCTAACCTTATGACGTTGGCATGATTCGCACTTACGAACATAGCGGCTAATGTCTCTAAACATTCCAGGCCAGTAATAACGAGCAGCAATCCTATTGCTTGTTTTGCGTATGCCAAGATGACGTGCCGCCGGTATGTCATGGTTTTCTTGTAGTACGCGGCTTCTTAGAGGAGTCGCAACACAAAGTTTCCATGGGTCTGAGTCATCATCGTTGATGCTACGTGGAAAATGACGATACAGTTGACCATTAATAATACTATAATCAGAGTATTTTTTAGGCGATTCCGCCACTTCTTTCTTTCGCTTTTCGAGCCAAGGGAACGTATTCGAGATTGGGTCAGTGTTTATAACATTCAGGGTATCACGCGGTTGACGAGATAGGGCATCGGCAACGACATTTTGTTTCCCCTTACGATACTGCACTGTAAAATTAAACTGTTGTAATTCGAGTGCCCACCGAGCTAGGCGTCCAGTAGGACTCTCGATTGAATTCAGCCACTTTAAAGACAAATGATCTGTTATGATGGTAAATTTATAACTTTCTAGGTAGGATCTCATTTTCCTTACGCCCCATATTAAGGCAAGACACTCCTTTTCAGTGGCAGAATAATTCTTTTCTGCTTTATTCAGGTGGCGGCTAGCATATGCAATGACTCTTCCAGCTCCGCCCAGCTCTTGTGTAAGGACAGTTCCGATTCCATAATCGCTGGCATCTGTCTGGAGGGTGAATGTTTGATTGAAGTCCGGACATGCTAATACCGGTGCAGTTGTTAATTTCTCCTTCAGTAGATCGAACGCTGTCTGCTGAGCTTCCCCCCACTTCCAGTGT